ATTATTGAAGTTATGTTATCATCCTATTACTTCTGAACCTAGCATCTCTTTCAATTTCACAATTACCTATCTGCCGTTGTTTTCAATGTTTTCCCTATTTTCTTTGTCACTGCAATTACCACACGCCTCCCTTCATCTTTATACCTTCTCCACTTCCTCCATCTTAACCTATTAAACCAAGTCTTGATTTCTTATTTTAGGTATTTGGATAGCAACTAACTTGAAATGATTAAATTAAAAATAGCGGTATAAATTGTTACCTATTTATATGCTTTCTAAAATTTTGAACAATGTCTTGTCTTGTTAGGAGACAAAGGGTTACGAAGTCATATTCTCAATGATGATAATGGCTTGTCAGGATCAGTCTTTTTGCTCCCTGGCCCTCTCTTTCTCTCGTTCCTCTCCCTCTCCCTCTCCCTCTCCCCGAAAGAGGGAAAGAGAAGAGGCAAGCAGGGGAGGAGGGGAAGAGAGGAACAGTGACCTTGACCTTCTATCTTCAAAGGATAGTCTCTTCAAATGCAGGATTGTGATTAAAAATGCTGAAATGTTTGTTATAGCATGTCAACTGTATCTCAGGTGACAGTTGTTGTTATAGATGAAAATCTGGTATCGAAGAGTGGTTTTTTAAAGGGCTGATGGTTTGTTCCTTGACTTTTTCATTTGCAGGAACCTGCATAACTGATGGGCTGGTAGCTATCATGGGAATGTATCTAATGATGAAATGAATCATGGCCGATAAATTTATTATCTGAAATATATTTTCACTTGGAACTTGTATGTGTGACCTCTTCGCTGAGAGTGATCGAGAACCCCATCATGGTATTGTTTAATGTGTCCTGCAACTTATCCGACCTATTTATCGGATTTCTTGAGTGCGAGTTGATATTCATCTGTAAATTTGGTGGATTTAGTATATGTTGCCTGTATAGGGGGTTCTGTGAATAGGCTGATAAAGGGCTACATACATTTTTTATGGGGTCTGCTCGTTGTCTAACTTTTAATCAAATGATGATTACCACTTGAATTATGGCTTTCGGACCCCCTTTCTTTATTATCAGGAGGGTTTGCATTTACAGTTCAATAACGGATCTCGGAACTGAGATCCAAATTCAATGCTTCAATTAAAATTTAAAAGTAAAGGCGGACAAATCGCATTGACATAGTCAATGGAAACCACATCAAAAGATTAGTCTAGACTATGACTTATATATATATATATATATATTAGTTATTGCATGTGTTTAAAGGATTAGAGTAATAAAAAATGATAAATAATAAACATATTTGTATTTATATTTAAAATTAAATTACAAACACAGAGAAGAGATAAAAAAATTTAAGAATCGTTTTGTAATGGAAGTGAGAGGTGCTGGGTAGCAGTGGTGGTGGTAGGAGATGGTGATGGTCATGGTGGGTGACAGTGACCGCGGTGGCAATGGTGGCGGCGAGGGCGGTGGCAATGGTGGTGGCAGCGACAACGACGATGGTGGTGGTTGCGACAATGACAGTGACGGTGGTGGTGGTGGTGGTGTACGTGGTTGTAGTAGTAGTGGTAGGGTGGTAGGTGTTGACGACGATGGTGGTGGTGGTGGCAGCGGCCGTGGTGGCGGTGATGGCGGTGGTGGTTACGGTGGCAATGGTGGTGGCAACGACGGCGGTAGTAAAGGTAGTGGTGGCGGTGGTGGTGAGACAGTTTCAAACACTATTTTTTTTAAAAGTATTTATAAGAAATAATTTCTAAAAGTACTTTTAAAAAATCACTCGAAACACACCCTTAAACTCTTATTTTTCTTATTAAATTTAGAGTGTTAATATTAGCCGTTAGATTAACTTTAAAAAAAAATTTAAAACGATCTCAATCGCAAATAACAAAAGTCATTTTATTTATCTTTTGAGATTTGAATTGTAAGGTACTTTATTATATAGAAGATTAGTTATTGTCTGTGCTTGAAGACACAAAATAATAAAAAATAATAAATACTAAACATATTTGTATTCATATCCAAAATTAAATTACAAACATAAAGGAAAGACAAATGAATTTAAGTATCAATTATAGTGGAGGTGAGAAGTGATAGGTGACAAGACAAATGTATTTAAGTATCAATTATAGTGGAGGTGAGAAGTGGTAGGTGACAATAGTGGTGATATGAGACAGTGATGATTGTGGTAAGTGACAATGACCATGGTGACAGCGGCGATGGTGGCTGTGGCGGTGACGACTACAGTGGTGGTGGTGGTGGTGTGCCAGTGGGGGGCGATGGTGGCAAAGGTAGTGACAGAAGGGTTTCAAATACTATTTTTTTTAAAGTATTTACGAGAAATGGGCCTTTGGTCGAATAGTACTCTTTATCGTATAAAAAATTTTCTTTCTTGAGATCAAAAATTCAAGTTCTCCCTCTCTTTTTTCAAAAAAAAGTTTAAAAAAAAAATATTAGTCGTTAGATTAACTTTAAAGTAAAATTTAAAACGATCTCAACCGCGAATAGCAAAAGTTATTTTATTTATTTTTGAGATTTGAATTATAAATTATTTTATTTTATAGATATTTATTTATTACCTCGTGAATGTGTCTTAGCTTCTTCTGGCTTGGAATCTTATCCTTCACTCATCGTGTTGAGATTGGCATATCCTATACCATCCAATCGTTCCTCTTTGGTCATCGCCTTCATCATTTTCTACATGCTCGTGATATTTTCTATGAGGTTGCTGAACATTTTGTCCGTTCCTGGTGCGCTTTTTTTAATTTATTTGTTCACTGATTAATGGTTATACACATACACATATACGTATGATTTATGATATATAAGTCTGGAGAAAAATAACAAAACCCGATAAGAAAAATATAAAATGTAAAAGTACAAAATGAATGCCACTTAAAATAAAAGTTCAAAATCTGAAAAAAAAATATTTGAAAAGATATTATGAAACGTTACCGTTTTATTTAGAATTTGAGATTATATCCGAACTTTCAGTGGCCTCATAAATTACATTTACATTTTCTAAAGTGTATTCCCTTGGGTTATGGAGTAAAGTTAAAAATCCTTATGGTTTTTTTCTTTTTTTTGGGCCAGGGTGGCTTTTTTCATTTTTATAAGAGCAATTCTCAATTTGCAATCAAATTCTATCCTCAAATATTAAAATTTTAATTTGTATCCTTAATATAATGAATTAGTAGCAATGTATTATCGTTCAATTTTTTATATATGGACTTGAAGCACGTAAGTTAGAAGTGCTTTATATATGGACTTGTGTGTAAATTCACAGACTATTGATGCTTCATGTGATTTACAAATGATGTGATTACCCTTTGTCTAATTAATAAAATTTTATTTTTGATATATAAAACGGTGTCAACTTGATTGAAGACCAATATTTGTAGTGATGGTCATACTTTATTCTCATGCCCGAAACATTTTAGTATATAACAAAAAATTGAACGGCAGGTTAGATTCACGTTGTGACTAATTTATAATATTAAAGGAATAAATTGAAAATTTTAATGTTTAAGGGTATGAATTGAGAATTAAGTATTTTCGAGTGTATACTTTTTTTTCAACGACCTGGGTGGCATTTTGGTAAATATTTGTTCGCAAGACCGGCTTTTCTTGGAGGAAGCAAACAAATAGTTATTAGATCAGATCCCAATCCACAAGGAGTGAGTGTGTGAAGGGGAGAGAGAGAGAGGAAGAAAGATGCCAAGAAGCAGATTTTCAGGGCCATTCTCGTCTCCGAAGGTGGACATATTCGTGGACATGGGCAATCCTTTCCTCAATACTACCGTCGACGGTTTCTTGAAGNTATTTTATTTATTTTTGAGATTTGAATTATAAATTATTTTATTTTATAGATATTTATTTATTACCTCGTGAATGTGTCTTAGCTTCTTCTGGCTTGGAATCTTATCCTTCACTCATCGTGTTGAGATTGGCATATCCTATACCATCCAATCGTTCCTCTTTGGTCATCGCCTTCATCATTTTCTACATGCTCGTGATATTTTCTATGAGGTTGCTGAACATTTTGTCCGTTCCTGGTGCGCTTTTTTTAATTTATTTGTTCACTGATTAATGGTTATACACATACACATATACGTATGATTTATGATATATAAGTCTGGAGAAAAATAACAAAACCCGATAAGAAAAATATAAAATGTAAAAGTACAAAATGAATGCCACTTAAAATAAAAGTTCAAAATCTGAAAAAAAAATATTTGAAAAGATATTATGAAACGTTACCGTTTTATTTAGAATTTGAGATTATATCCGAACTTTCAGTGGCCTCATAAATTACATTTACATTTTCTAAAGTGTATTCCCTTGGGTTATGGAGTAAAGTTAAAAATCCTTATGGTTTTTTTCTTTTTTTTGGGCCAGGGTGGCTTTTTTCATTTTTATAAGAGCAATTCTCAATTTGCAATCAAATTCTATCCTCAAATATTAAAATTTTAATTTGTATCCTTAATATAATGAATTAGTAGCAATGTATTATCGTTCAATTTTTTATATATGGACTTGAAGCACGTAAGTTAGAAGTGCTTTATATATGGACTTGTGTGTAAATTCACAGACTATTGATGCTTCATGTGATTTACAAATGATGTGATTACCCTTTGTCTAATTAATAAAATTTTATTTTTGATATATAAAACGGTGTCAACTTGATTGAAGACCAATATTTGTAGTGATGGTCATACTTTATTCTCATGCCCGAAACATTTTAGTATATAACAAAAAATTGAACGGCAGGTTAGATTCACGTTGTGACTAATTTATAATATTAAAGGAATAAATTGAAAATTTTAATGTTTAAGGGTATGAATTGAGAATTAAGTATTTTCGAGTGTATACTTTTTTTTCAACGACCTGGGTGGCATTTTGGTAAATATTTGTTCGCAAGACCGGCTTTTCTTGGAGGAAGCAAACAAATAGTTATTAGATCAGATCCCAATCCACAAGGAGTGAGTGTGTGAAGGGGAGAGAGAGAGAGGAAGAAAGATGCCAAGAAGCAGATTTTCAGGGCCATTCTCGTCTCCGAAGGTGGACATATTCGTGGACATGGGCAATCCTTTCCTCAATACTACCGTCGACGGTTTCTTGAAGATTGGCGCTGTAAGTGTAATCACTCTGTTTTTGTTCTCGATTATTACAGTGCAATCGCTCTCTACACTTGTTCTCGATTGTTTCTTTCGAATCATACATCCCACTATTTGATCTTCTCTGATGGTTTCAGTTATTATTACCCTACTATGGTTTTGTCTTTGTTTCTTGTTCAGGTTGCAGCGACGAAAACAGCTGCAGAGGAAACATATCACATAGTCAAACGAGGTTCCGATTTCTTAAGCATCTTATTTTCTTCTTCACATTTATATATCTCTTTAGGGTCTTAGTTGCTTTGGATGAATTATAAACGTATATTTACAAGAATTTTTTTTATGGGTTTTTCGTTTTCTTCTTTTTTTTTTGTACGTAAATTGATGTAAATGGTAAGTGCATTTTGATGAATTGAGGTTTTGATGCATACAACTGTTGAATATGCATATTTAGGACTTCTGATTCATTGCCAGACCAAATCTTTTTGGCAAATTGGATTTCTCGATTCTTTCATGTAGCTAATATGATGCTGAATTTTATCACTGTTCTCGTTAAGAGATTGCTTAATCTTGCCAGTGATTGTTTAGTTCAATTTTCTTTTAAATATTATTTATGGAAGTTCTCTTGGTTAAAATATGTTGAAGCAGCATATATGGTTTTTGCAGGGAATGTTTCAAGTCACAACTTTGAGCACTCGGTGAGTCATCTTCAATCATTTCTGTTTTTCCATTTGTTGGTATTATGGTTGTAGTGCCCTGGGTGTGCACATCTTATTGAGATGGGTGGGGCGGTGTGCACATCTTATTGGTATTTCGTTATTGGAACCAATCCAATGATGGGAAACAAAACTCGTCTTGAGTGTAAGGACCACAGAGTCACAAGAGCTACTATTTATTTGCTTAGAATCTGGTTTATAATAGGATTTGGTTGCTGGAAAATAACTTGCAAATCTGGGATGCCTAGATCCACCAGGGAAAATTTAGAAATAACAGACCTGACTGGTGTTATTTTCTGTAGTTTGCATAAATAAGGTTGCCAAGGAGCACACTCAGCAGGTATCAATCAATGTCTTAGAAATTATGTATTTGGGGAAATATACAGAATACTATTCTACAGCATGCTTCTTGTGCAAATGTGTTCCCCCAGATACAATTCTACTTATTGCTAAATTATTTGCTGTCCCAATATTGTTGCGGTATATTGGTACATGTTATCACGTATTCTTCTCATATACTTTTGTTTATTCTCCCTGATGTGAACTGTCCTGTTATGTTTTGGTTTGGTTTTAGTGCTGCCACCCAGTATGAGGAACTTGATGTACTTGATCCCTTGCATTGCTTCTCATGCGATGCAATTATTGTTTTGGAGTATCGGCTTTTTCTAGTTAAATAAATTTTGTAGCCTTTTCATTTACAACGTGAACGCTTCAACAAATAGTATAGCACATGCTATTTGAAGTGTTTTAAAGACCAGTGTACCAATGCTATTTGTTTATAATGCAATTTATTTAGCAACAGGGTATGACTAAACATGATTCTTATCGTTCTAATGGAAATTGTTGGTATTGCAGTTAAAGAAAATGTGTAAAGAAGGTGCATATTGGGGTAAGTGTCATTTGTATGTATTTGCTGATGCATGGAAGATTGTTTTGTGGGAGACCAAACAGTTCTTTGGCTATTTGCTTGGTGGCCTACATTTTCCTGAATGCGGAACAATTCTAATAATTGTTTCCTGAATGAGTAACCATTCTAATAATTGTTTTGATTTCACTAACAGGAACAATAGCTGGAGTATATTGTGGAATGGAATATGGAATGGAGAGAGTTCGTGGCACCAGAGACTGGGTAATACCTGAATAGCATTTGAAGTGGTTTTCGCTCTATAGTTGAACCACATTTATTTCAAGCTTAAGCACACCTTGCTATAAGGGTATATAGATGCTATTGTTGTTACTTATTGTCTATTTCCAGGCTGTTAGTTCTAAGAGTCTCATGGATTCTTGATTGTGCTTGACATTTAATTCCGCATGAATTGACTCCAACACTTCTCCAAAATGACTGTTGTGGAAATTGGAAAGTGCTAGTTATGCCTTGATTCTGAAGGTTCTAGGTGATTTTACCAGAGACCTCAGATCATATATCCTCCCACTTGAGGTTTAAGATGGTGTTGTGTTGGGGGGGAGATTATAGACTGCTTTGTTGGAAGTTTAAGCATCTAGACTCTCTTGTTTGATGAATCCACCAGTTCAAGAAAATTCAGATTTAGAGAGACGACACTTGTCATTAGATCGCAATTGTTGAAGATGATGGCAATAAGAAGTTCTAAACATATAAGTAATGCGATGAAGATTGATCATAAATTGTTTTTAGTAGAGGTCAAGGTGGAATGTTGTCAAGATTGTTGAAAGAACTCGTTTTGCTAGTTTCTCCATTGCTATAGGGGTGGGGGGTGGTTCCTGGTTGTGTAGTGTGGTCAAAGAGGCATGTGTATGGAGAAGGTCAAAGTTGTTTTTTAGGAAGCTTTGTACCAGTGATTATCATATGTGGGTTGGAATGAATTATAACAAGTTTGGGAAGTTCCTTACGATATTTAAAATCCATTCGTCTAAGAGAAGGGCTTCATTTTTGTTACTCAAGGAGTAACTATACTGGTTGGAGTAAGCTTCAGACAATGTGAAATGGTAGCTTGAAAAGTGGTAGGAATGAAAGGAATACTATATTTGTGTTGAATCCTGCACTGGGGGGGTGAAATCATTGAGAAGAAAGAGGTGGAGTGTGTGGATACAAAAAGTAATATTGCATATGTTTTTGATTTTGGTAAATGGAAGGGAGCAGTGGTTTGCACAAGGGAAATTATTTTCATTCTATGACAAAGGGTTACAGATGCTTTGGTTTTTGAGTTTAATTGTGAAATTCTGTTGAATCCATTCCAAGTGGACAAAGGCTATATTTTTATTTTTTGTGAGAAGAGGATTGTGCAATTGATATTTGTAGGAATGAAGAGATTGTTATAGAGAAGGTGGGTATAGTTGTCCAAATGGGTTCTTCAAATAAATGGTGGAAGAGATTGTTTTCTTTTTCTTTTGGGAGGGTGGATTGGAATTGATGGGTTACCTTTTCATCTGTGGAATGAAGATGTTTCTAGAAAAATTGGAGATTGGTGTGGTGGGTTGCTGACGTGCTGGAGACTGATAGAAACACTTTGGCCAAGCAAAATTTGTTTCAAGCCAAAATTCGTGTTGGTGGATGTGAAAGGAATTATTCCATCTGCTTCAATGTTGAATACTTACATGTTATTAGGTTTGAATCAAGGTTATTTTAAAGTTTGGAGTGGTTGTTAGTGACAGGATAAAGCTTCAGAGGCGATACAGTGGGATGAAATTTCGATACACTCATTGAGAGGTAGAAAATGACAATGTAGCTAGGGAATCATTGTGTGGCTTGGAAGGGCAGGAGGTTGTACAAGATCTGTATGCACTGCAAGGTAAAAGGATGGAAAATGGGCTTGAAATAAGGGATATTGTTTTAGATTTTGGGTCAGCTAATATTATGAGGGAGGCGATAATGTAGGAAGCACGGATAATTTCACCGGGGTATGTCCGACATGGACACGGTCAGGATACGACTGGACACGTGTCCGACACAGTTAGAAGTGTCTTGCATAGTGAATTTAGTCGAACATAGCCAGGACATGAGTAGAATACGTCTAGGATACAACCAAAAATTTTTTTATTAAAAAAAACAACTTTAAACTATTAAAAGGAGTGTGATTTTTACTTTTTTAATATATTTTTTGTTATGTAATTTATATACTATGAATGTTAATAGATGTCATGATGTTTGATTGAAATGGTAGATATTTAATTTAATCTATTTCAATTTTAATCAAAAAAATAATATTTGTTAGGTCTTATTATTAATATTGTTACATATATTATATTCTTTTAATAGTTGTATCCTTGTCGTACCAATGTCCTATATTTTTGAACTTTGTCTTATTTTCGTGTCTATATTGTATTGGATACAATACCGTGTCTATATTTGTACTTCCTAAGTGATAATTATGGGATCAAGCAAACATAATCAAAATCAGTTAAGGGCTAATTTAAATTTTAAAAGTGAAGAGGGAATAGAATATGTGGTTGGTGAGATGATTATAGGCAAGGTTACAAGTTGGTTGTCATTATAGGTTAGGCTGTGAGAGTGATAGGTGCAAGCCTGATTTTTTGAAATTAGGCAGGATTTATTTTGGGTCATTACATTTTATTGGTGCGGATAAGATGAAAATCCCATTAGTGGTGGGCCAGTTCAAAGCAAAAACAGTAGGGTTTTTAAAATAAAAAAAGCCCTGATCCAAGAAGCATCCGAAATCCATTTTTCTCATGCCCTAACATATGATGTAATGAACTATAGGGCTAATCTGGTCACCACTGAAACTGAAGGATAGGCGTTTTTGGTATGAGAAGATCTACAATATGATATGAAAATAACAGAAAAAAGGAGGAAATGAAAAAATGAAAGCGGTTGACTTTGAAGATAATGAAGGGGATAGAGATCACTTGTTTTGTGAATGGGCAGAAGGTTTTGATACAGTAGATGATCTGCGACAGGATATCGAAGAAATCTGGGAGAAATTTATATCGAGGAAGATAACCTTTTTAATATGGGTTTGCAAGATTGCCCAAAAATCGAAGCTACTTCTCAAGATAGATCGCAAAGTGATGAGTTATCTTCAGACAATATATCCAAAACAATGGAATCCGATTGTGAAGTTGGAGGGCTATTCGAGTCTGAAGAGGAAGAAGAACAACTTATAAAGAGTGGGTTTAAGGTCAAGGTGAGAAATCTAATTGGTATGTCAGATAAGTTTTATTGAACAATTGTCTAGTAATTCTCTTTTTTTCCATTACAAAATCTTTCTGGAGAGATGGGAATCGACTGTGATAGGGGGTGTGAGATTATTGATTCCTTTCTATCTTCTTTTTCAAAAAGGGAGTGGTGCTGGGGTAGTGATAGTTTGTCAATAGGGGGATTCATCTTCTTTTCCTGTTGATAATTGTTTGAATGAGTAGAGGAAATTAGTTAATTCAGTACTCATTGATGTGTTTTTGGAAATGAAAAGGATACAGAGAGTTTAGTTCAAAGGGATTTTGTAACACAACCTATTAAGCACAGTAATTATCTTCACCAAGAGAAAGACTCTTTTATACTTAGAGATCTAGGAGGAAGAGACAATGGGAAGGAGAGATTTTATCTTTTTGATGAGGAGAAATGAACCATTTTGAATAAATTTTTAGAGAAAATGGATTTGTCCTTGGTTTATAATAAAAGAAAAGGAAAGAAAAAAGGGGGTGAAAAATCTAAGAGAAAAAAATAAAGANCATATATTATATTCTTTTAATAGTTGTATCCTTGTCGTACCAATGTCCTATATTTTTGAACTTTGTCTTATTTTCGTGTCTATATTGTATTGGATACAATACCGTGTCTATATTTGTACTTCCTAAGTGATAATTATGGGATCAAGCAAACATAATCAAAATCAGTTAAGGGCTAATTTAAATTTTAAAAGTGAAGAGGGAATAGAATATGTGGTTGGTGAGATGATTATAGGCAAGGTTACAAGTTGGTTGTCATTATAGGTTAGGCTGTGAGAGTGATAGGTGCAAGCCTGATTTTTTGAAATTAGGCAGGATTTATTTTGGGTCATTACATTTTATTGGTGCGGATAAGATGAAAATCCCATTAGTGGTGGGCCAGTTCAAAGCAAAAACAGTAGGGTTTTTAAAATAAAAAAAGCCCTGATCCAAGAAGCATCCGAAATCCATTTTTCTCATGCCCTAACATATGATGTAATGAACTATAGGGCTAATCTGGTCACCACTGAAACTGAAGGATAGGCGTTTTTGGTATGAGAAGATCTACAATATGATATGAAAATAACAGAAAAAAGGAGGAAATGAAAAAATGAAAGCGGTTGACTTTGAAGATAATGAAGGGGATAGAGATCACTTGTTTTGTGAATGGGCAGAAGGTTTTGATACAGTAGATGATCTGCGACAGGATATCGAAGAAATCTGGGAGAAATTTATATCGAGGAAGATAACCTTTTTAATATGGGTTTGCAAGATTGCCCAAAAATCGAAGCTACTTCTCAAGATAGATCGCAAAGTGATGAGTTATCTTCAGACAATATATCCAAAACAATGGAATCCGATTGTGAAGTTGGAGGGCTATTCGAGTCTGAAGAGGAAGAAGAACAACTTATAAAGAGTGGGTTTAAGGTCAAGGTGAGAAATCTAATTGGTATGTCAGATAAGTTTTATTGAACAATTGTCTAGTAATTCTCTTTTTTTCCATTACAAAATCTTTCTGGAGAGATGGGAATCGACTGTGATAGGGGGTGTGAGATTATTGATTCCTTTCTATCTTCTTTTTCAAAAAGGGAGTGGTGCTGGGGTAGTGATAGTTTGTCAATAGGGGGATTCATCTTCTTTTCCTGTTGATAATTGTTTGAATGAGTAGAGGAAATTAGTTAATTCAGTACTCATTGATGTGTTTTTGGAAATGAAAAGGATACAGAGAGTTTAGTTCAAAGGGATTTTGTAACACAACCTATTAAGCACAGTAATTATCTTCACCAAGAGAAAGACTCTTTTATACTTAGAGATCTAGGAGGAAGAGACAATGGGAAGGAGAGATTTTATCTTTTTGATGAGGAGAAATGAACCATTTTGAATAAATTTTTAGAGAAAATGGATTTGTCCTTGGTTTATAATAAAAGAAAAGGAAAGAAAAAAGGGGGTGAAAAATCTAAGAGAAAAAAATAAAGAGATGAGGGAACTAAAAAGTTTGCAGTTTGGGATCAATTATCATGGTGGTGTGTCTAGAAGGAGTGATGAGGGTGTGGAGAGTTTCTTATAAAGATTATTAGTTGGAATGTTAGAGGGTTGAGTTCTAAGAAAAAGAGAAGAGCCATAAGAGAGGTATTGATTAGAGAGGGACTGAATGTGGTTATTTTGCAAGAAACAAAGAAGGAAAATATTGAAAGGAAAATTATAAAAAGTGTGTGGGAACTGGGAAGCTAGATATGAAAACTGGGTTCGATTGTCTTTCATTGGAAGGTCAAGGGATATTATCATAATGTGGGAAGAGAAAACTATTAAAGTTGATGAATATGTGGAGGATAAGTTTTCAATTTCAGTTAGGGTTGTGCATAATGATGGGTTGGAGTGGTGGTTAACAAGAGTGTATGGTCCAAATTGTCCTAGAGAGAGAAGGAGATTGTTGGTAGAATTGGAGAGATTGATAAAATTGAAGAGAGATGGGGATTGAAAGAAAATTTGAGGGAGAGATGAAAGTTGAATGAATTTGAAGGGGTGGTGTTTAAGGAAGAAATTAGTTGGAGACAAAAAGCAAGAGTAAAGTGACTAAAAGAAGTGAATAATAATTTTACGCTTTTTCATAGAGTTGCAAATGGAGGCAAAAAAAGTTTATTGATAAATTATTTGATAATGGAGAAATTATTGAGGAAAAGGGGTTAATTGAATGTAAGATTGTGGATAATTTCTCTAATTTGTATACAGGCCAAGGAGCGAGAGACCAATTTTGGAAGGTTTGGAGTGGAGTCCAATTGATGAGGGAATGTCCAGTTGGCTTGAAAGACAGTTTAAAGAGGAAGAAGTGAGAAATGTTGTTTTTAGTGTGGTAGGGATAAGGCTTTGGGACTCAATGGTTTCACTATTGCAGTTTACCAAGATTGTTGGGATATCATTAAAGTTGATTTAATGAAAGTGTTCAATGAATTTATTCAAAATGGTATGGTCAATGCAATTACTAAAGCCACTTTTATTTGCTTGTTCCCAAAGAAAGAAAAGACCATGAAGATGAGGGATTTTAGGTTAATTAGTTTAGTTTCTAGTCTCTATAAAAATCATTGCAAAAGTTTTATCCTTGAGATTAAGAAATACTCTGAGTGGCATTATTTCTGATAGTCAATGGGCCTTTATTAGGGATAGACAGATTCTTGATGCTGCACTTGTGGCAAATGAGGTTGTGGAGGAATAAGGGGGTAAAGGAATTGAGGGTTTTGTTTTTAATATTGAATTCTTGGATGTTTACACTCTATGAACTTCTCGGTTATGATGAATGAAAAATTAGGGGTAAATTTAAGGCATCTAGAGGATTGAGATAGGGTGATCCTTTTTCTCATTTGTTTTTTACTTTAGTTTCTGATGGGTTGAGTAGACTAGTGAGGAAGACTGAAAGTTATAATTTGGTGGAGGGATTCATTGTGGAGAGAGGATAGGGTTTTGATTTCTCATTTGCAGGTTGATGATGATACAATATTTTTTTCAAAAATTGAAGAGGATAAAATTTTAAATGTTAAGAATATTGTTGAGGTGTTTGGGGTGGTCTCGGGTTTGAAGGTAAATATGGTTGAGAGTGTACTTGTGGGCATATATTCAAATCAGGAAAAGATTAATAGGATAGTGGGGCTTTTGGGTCATAAGGCAGGAGAATGACCTTTGAAATATTTGGTGTTACCATTGGGAAGAAATCCACAATGTTTAACTTTTTGGGATCATGTGGTGAAAAAAGGTTACATAGGTGAAAGAAAGCCTACATATCTAAAAGAGGGGGGTTAATTCTTCTGCAGTCAGTTTTGGCTAGTATTCCCACATACTTTTTATCTTTACTCAAATTGCCGAGAAGAGTAGCTATAAAAATATGGAAAAAATAATGAGAGACTTTTTGTGGGAAGGTATTAAAGAAGGGAAAAGAATCATTTAATTACTTGGGGGATGGTTTCTAGATCTATGGATAAATGTGGTACTTCTATTGTTAATTTGATGCAAGAAATATTGTTTTAATGGGTGAGTGGCTATGGAGATTTCCTTTGGAGGTAAATTCCTTGTGGCATTTAATTGTCCAGTCCAAATATGGGTTACAAGCCAATGGATGAGACATTAATAATGTTGAGAGAGGTAATTTTTAATGCCTATGGAAATTCATTTCTCAGAGACTGTAGAGGTTTTTCTAAGGTGTTCGTTTTATGGTAGGAAATGGGGAGATAATTCGTTTTTGGGAAGATGCATGGGTGAGAGTATTCCTTGTCATTTATGTTTCCTCATCTCTATCAGATATCTCATTTCCATGATTCATCCATTGTGTCTTTGCTTCGTTCACATAATCCTACTTATTCTTGGGATTTTGGTTTTCGTAGGAACCTAGACAATAAAGACATTGAAGAGTTGATTTCATTTCTTGCTATTCTCAATAACTCTATGATGAGGATGGATTCTTTGGATAGAATGTGGAGGTGAGTCTTCTGGAGTTTTTTGTGTGGGGCGGGTTTTCTTGGTGTCTCCTGACTTGTAACTGAAAAAGTAATCAGAAATGAAGGATTTGGCTCCCTGTATTCTTCAGGTTCTGCTTTTCTAGATAATGGTTTCATTAGCACGCCGCATCCCTGCCAAATTCTGCCTATACTTGGTTATGTAGCCTATTTTTCAAGAACCAGATGCCCATCAATTTTGAGACTGGTCTTTTGATTTTTTATCCCTATTTTCTGTCTACCATCACTGGAATTGACTTGTCCAAGATTGAATGTTAAAGTAATGCTGTATCCCAAGAACACTCTTGTTGATATGTAAAACTTCTCAATGTAAAGGTGTCCCTTTTGGCTTCATGCAGTTTTTTTTTTTTTGATTTTTTCTTCTAAAGCTTCAATACTCATCACCTGCCTGTTTCATTTCCTATTTCATGGTGCAGAAGAATGCAATGATTGGGGGTGCATTGACTGGGGCTCTTATATCTGCTGCAACCAACAACAACCGAGACAAGATTGTAATGGATGCCATCACAGGGGGTGCTGTTGCAACCGCTGCAGAGTTCCTTAACTATGTCACCTGAACAAAGAGAGACTGAATTTTCTTCCTATCTCTTCGCTACTTGTGAAGATGCATGCATCTTTTCCCCTTCTATACTTGTCCGGTTGTCAGAAACACATTGTAATTTTAGCAGCAGTATTGAATAAGTGCAAACATGAAGTAGCAATCCGTTTTCAAAAATTGGTGCAAATTTATATTGCTTATACATGGTTTCTCTTTTCCTGCATCGTAACGTCACGAGTTCATGATGGATTTGCATGGAACCATGGACATTGGATTTTCATCAATATACCACAATAGGAGGAGTTATATTCATATCATTTGGTCCCTAAATTTCAACTACTTCTTCATACATAACATCAAACTTCAAATACCAAACAAAGTAGACATAACCATAGTTTGACAAAGACAGGAACTAGACATGAGACATCATACAAGTTCAAGGAATGGATCCTCAGAAGTCTTGGATGTCTTTATTGTAAGCTTTCTCACTCATTTAAGAAAGACACATTACTAGTTTTTATATATTATTTATATTAAAACGATAGCTGCTTTGTTGGGGACTCGGTCGTTCTGTTTTTCAACAGTTACATGGGTCACATTTGCAGTTTGGCCCACACTTGCAGCCATGACCTCCTTCTGCTCCTAAGCTCGTCTCAGACGTCTCAGAGTACCTGCAAATATTGCCACTTATTAATTGGTGTTTCCATAATTGATACAAACGTCTGTTACTGGTCATTGCAGGATTTGAAAAGGGTAATCTCTGCGTGCATAGTTAGAGAGTGAAGGGAGACACGAAAGTCGCCATATACTTGAAATCGAATGTGTACAAGAATGAACCCAATACCAAGGGTGGCTTGATATATTTTGAGGCCAATAGCGATAAATTTAATTGAGACTTTTTAATTTTTTTTAAATAATAATGTAAATTTTTTAATATTTAATTTTTTTTTCTAGATGCATATTAATTGTTTTTTATTCGTATTGAAATTTTTTTAACATATCTTTTTTTTATTGATACTATAACTAATTGACTTAATTTTTAAATTAAATAAAAAATTCCAAAACTTTCAAGTTCAAAATTTATGAGACATTATGTTGTCTCGTCCTTGACACTCTTATAAAATTATTTTTCTACGAAGTAGGGATTTCTCAAAGAATATATGTTCGATTAGGTTTTTAAGATTATGATAAAAAAGGTAATATTATATGAACTTTATTTAATGATTTTATTTGACGACTTATCATTTTTTGCTATTAAATAGACAGTGGACTCTACTATTAGTTGAGACCCACTATCTATTTCACAGTTATGATTAGGAGTGTCAAACGTGTCAGGTTAAACGGGTGATAGATGAAAAATATATAAACCTGTATACGACATGTTTAATAACTAGGTAAAAAATTTCAACATGAACACGACCTGTTTAATAAACGAGTAACATGACATGATTCGTTTAACCTGTTTAATTTTTAAAAAAATATATTAATAAATTTTAATTTTAATACTCAATTTTTTTTATTGCCAATTACACTTACCTCAAAAAAGAAGATTTTTTAGTCAAATCTCATAAAAATAAGACTTAAAGCTTAAAAAAAAAAAATAAGAGGCCATTACTTTTTATAGGTAACTCAACCCTCCCTATCTCCCCTCATTTTTCAATGTGGGACAAATAAAACTTGAAGACTTAAAAAAAAAAAAAAAAAAAGAGGGAGAGACCATTGCTTTTTATAGGCAACTCAACCCTCTCCATCTCCTCTCATTTTCCAATGTGAGACAAATAAGACTTGCCTTTGTCTTTGAAGTGTTCTTCATTTCCTCTCTTTTGTCTTTGAACTACTATTTCACTTTTTTTTTTATTGATTTCTTTACTTTTTTTTTTTTGCTAATTTTTTAAAATAATTATTAATTTATTATTATATTAATTTTATTTAAACGGGTAAACGTGTGATAAACGATTTTATAAGTCTCACCCGAATACGACCAGTTTATTAAAAGTGTTTGGCGCGTCAACCCATTTATCACAAAAATCTGCTTAATTCGTTTCGATTCGTGTCAGTTAATCGTGTCATATCAAATTTTGACAGCCTTAGTTATGATCCATCATATCACCAGATAAGATTACTAAATTCAGTACAATATATATATATATATATATATATATATATTGGTTCCTTTAAGACTAAACTAACATAATAAGGGTAGTAGCGTTAACAAGAAATCAAATTAAAGCGCCGATAAAAGGCCCCTCTCTCTTAAAGTCAACTTTTTCCCTTCTTTTAGCTAGTTTCGTCTATCTATTCNTTTATGCCTAAAATTAGTCTAGAGGTTTTTTTGCTGGTTTAGGCCTTCATACGAGGCTTTCTTAATAAGTTAAAATTGACTTGAGCTAAATTTTGGGAACTTTTTTATTGGTGGAGCCTAAAGCCACCACTTCATTTCCTCCTATGTTGGGTCGGCCTTGCCCAATAAGGATCTAAAAGCTTAAGGGCCCCTCATGTTTGAATTAAAAATTTAATCTTGAGTTTTCAAATCCGACTAACAGCTGTCCCAAATATTAAATCTATGATTATTCGTCAAACTTAAAAGGCTTGTTTGGTATGTGGGACAAGAGGGAATTTAAAAGATGGGTTGAGAATAAAAGTTCACAAACTCCATGTTTGACAACTACATTTCTAACCCAGATTACCAAATTCAGTCCTCTTTGGTCCCACAATTTAAAACCATGTTCATGGATTTCATGAAATCCGAAGAGGTGCAGGGTGGATTTCATATGGGTTAAAGGGTGTTGACTATAAAAATACAATTATACTCCCACACACACCACCTCTCTCTCTCTCTGCTCATCTGCCCCTCACGAACTTCTTATCGCCGTGGCTAAACCACCAGCAGCAACAACAACAACTTACTCCCAAGTACACCCTTCTCTCTCTCTCTCTCACACACACACACACACACAAACCCAACCTACATAAACAGAAAACAACACACACACACACACACAGAACACAGACATACACACATAGTAGCCCCACACACGCACACAGACCACACACAGAAATTTTATGTTTATGTTCTTAATTTGGGTGTTTAATTTACTTTGTTTAATTTGAGTTTTTATTTTGTGAATATTTTTGTTATGAAATATATTTTTTTTAATTATGAACACTCAATAATGTTTTTAACCATTTCATTGCTCAATGGTATAACAACTGATCCCTTCATTGTAATGCTAACAATAAGCTTTGTCAACAATGGCTTCTCGCCGCCCAGATGAGAAAATAAAGAAGACATGTCACAAATTTTATTAAAACCCCATAAGTTTAGTGTATTTATATTTTGACCTCTCAAGTTATAGAAACATCATTATTATTCCTTAAGTTTCAAAAATAATATTATAACCCCAGAGCTTTTGTAAAAAATCATCTTCTTCATAGAACTTTGAAGCATCTTTGATATGTTTATTAGAGCTTGTGGGTCTAGATCCCTCAAATTTAAATTACTCCAATCAAAAATATTTTAAATCTTACAACTAAAATTTGTGTTCTATTAAAAAAAATTATTATTTACAATGTAGAAAAAATAATCAAATATGAAAACCAAAAGGACATAAGAAAATGTATGTATACAAACATGAAATTAGATTAAATTGATGAAAGATCAAAATAGTCAATTATAGACAAATATATTATCATAATAATGATATATCCGTGAGCATATCAAACATTAGTATTGATAGGATTGAACGTTGAACTCCATCTTTATAAAAAGAGATTTGAGTTTGGACAAGTCAATCCAAACCCCTTCCAAAAAATCATCCAAACAACTCCAAATTTGGAGGTGGGTTTGGAAAGATGGAGTAAGGGGTTAAAGTTGCAAAAGACAATTGTACCCCTTAAGGGCATTTCTAACAACAAAAACTATATTATCTACTCAAAAAATAATATTTTCTATTTTAGCTACTCACTTTTTCAATATATACTCTAACATATTTTCTATATCTTGAACTACTCGTTTTAAATATTATTTTTCATTCCTTTTGTATTATTTTTTTTGGGCATAGTGAAAAGAAGAAAGAAAGAGAATGGAAGAAAGGAGATGAAGAGAGAAAAAATATTATAATTTTTTTTTACATATTAGAGTATCATTGTAGCAAAATGTTATTTTAGATATTTTGAAGATAATCTGTTGGAATGATGTGTTTGAGCTAAATAACTAAAATTTGAAGATTTTGTATATTTTAGATCATCTATTGGAGATGCTCTAACATGGATATCAATTTGATTGATCAATGACAAAATAATTATTTATAGGACAAATAATTATGATATATCCATAGGTCCTACATGTATACGTGTTGCATACCAAACATGGGTATGAACCGAAGTTAATGTTGAATCTTATTTTTGTAAAGAGGGGTTTGAATTTGAAAGGGTTTGGGGAAGCCAATCCAAACCCTCCCCAAAAATTTATCTAGCCCTAAGTGCTTAAATCTAGGTAGGGGTGCAATGTGAGCGGGGCTAATTCGAATTCAACCCGAGTCCAACCCAAAAAAAAGGGTTTCGATTAGAATTTTTAATACTTGGATTGGACCTAGACAAAACAATTTCAACCTGAATTGAATTTGGAAAAGCCTCGGGTTGAGGCCTTGGGTTGTCGGGTTTAACCCGAATATTAAAATTAGGGGTGTTCTTTCTATCTTACGGGTAGGAAATATAGTCTTCCGCCTTCCTACCCGACACTTTGCAAAATAATTTTTTCTTACCCTACCCGACTCGATTAGGTATAGTATTCTTATCCAACTTTCTACCCGATTAATCGGGTAGGAAGTCGGGTAAACACTTTTGTAGCTATTAATTTTTGAATCATTTTAACAATTTAATTAAATAACATTCACTAATTTAACAACACAATAAATTAAAACACTAAAATCTAAAACAACACTCAAGAAAGCATGAACATTAATCTATCATAATTGTTGCACAAATATAATAACAATTATTTTAAGTTTAAACTATATGAAACACATTAAAATCATAGCTGTTCCAATAGATTACTAGTTCACCACAAATCATGTAATCTATACAAAAAATAAGTCCATGTTTTAGCACCTCAAACATCCACAACAATGATAATGTTAGAATATAAATTATACCACATAAATACTCTTATAATTACTAAAAAAAATATAAAAATGTTAAATATATTTTTTGCGGGTAGGGTAGGGTAGGAATGCGAAAATTAATGGGTATTCCGCATTCCTTCCCGATTTAATCAGAAGATAAAAAACTCTTCCACATTCCTATCCGATTTTTGCAGCTAACTGTTCAGTAGGGTAGGGTAGGGTCGGGTAGTGTAGAAAATTGCAGTCAATCAAAAATTTGAACACCCCTAATTAAAATCGGATTGAACCCGAATATACATAAATACATAAATATATTTAATATATTTAACTAGAGTTAGTATTTATATTCACTCTTTAGAGTCTAGACTTTGACTTCACTTCAAGTCTTTACCCTTACACCTCCATCACTCTCAGATTCGTCTTTCACTCATCACTCTTCCCTGTCTCAACCTCCCTCTCTTAATCGTTACTAATTTGAGGCGTTTCAGACTATCAGCCTCCCTCTCTCACTCGTCACTCCTCCTTCTCTTACTCCCTCTTTCTTCATCTGCGCTTGGCCTTTTATCTCAAATCATTTGAAAAAATCAGATCTACACTTAAAAAAATTAAATTTACACTTCAAAAAATCAATCCGAATTAAGTAACCTAAACTCAACTCGATTTTTAACCTGAAATCAGTCCGAATTAAGTAACTCGAATTCAACCTAAGCCCACCCGAATTAAACTCGAATAATACTCAGATTGAGTATCTCTGGTTGAGGTAGGGTTAGCGTTGCGTTAGGATTGACCATTTAACCCGCCCAACCCAGCCGAGTTGCACCCTTAGATCTAGGGTCCATCTAGGTATATTAATCCGTCCAATTCATTATCTTCATCTGATGTGACATGACACCCACTCACCCTAGACTCGTAACAATAATTCTATGAGTAAAATGTTTTATATGCCTAATTAGTCAAATGTGAAATTACACTTACGTCTTCACGGGTGCAACCCCCGCAATGATAGTAGCACTGGTGGCCTTCTCCACATCCGGGTACATCCCACATCTGCCATTTGTAGAGTCAAAAACCAGAATATTCAGACAAGAAACACCTAAAATAGATGTATATATAGTCTTTGCAAATGTAATACTAAGGGATTGTTGATGACATGTTGGATTAGCAATACAATCACCGGCCACCGGGGACGCATCTATGAATTTATTCTACATAGTGGCGTTTTAAAATTATCAGAAAAGTCTTAAATGAGCCGTATATAGTTTTAAGACTATTCATATAGCTGAAAACATCATAAAAAGTGAGGTACTTAGGCACATGAATAAGAGCATCACACCCC